AAGAGAAGATGACCCATTGGCGGATTCTCCTAATCTGCAGCAGCATATATTTTATGGCATGATGGGCACATGTGGCTTGCAAGTCTAGCTACAGACGACCTACAAACATGCCTCTATCAGTGGACGGGAATTTTCAGTGGGTGCAGAGACAAAACTGCCGCATGCTTCCTCCCTTGCAGGGAGGTTAAACATAACTTGCTGATTAGTATGTCATTACTCTGCTGGTTTTGTTCCAGTGTCAGTTTGAAAAAAAATTGGATGCTACTGTTGGCCTGGTTGGCAGCGAGCTCATCAGCAGCCCCATATGATTTGGTGATATGCAGTTGTCCTGGTCTACTGCTTAATTCAATATTGCGTAGGTCCTTACCTACCAGGTTAAATTAGTGTGCTACTGGAGGTTACTTAAATGGGGTGACGCAGGTGGATTATAAGGAAGGAACTCTCCAACAGAGGCTGCAGCAGTTTTTTTTTTCAGCGGTAGAGGATTGCAGAGTTTGACCAACCAGTGGTTGGCACCATGTGCCCAAGATCCATTATTCTTTCCCCAATTTTTCATCGCTAGTGTGGAAATCCTAGTGCCAAGAATTACGCTACTATCGTAATTCAGCTCCATGTCTGCACATTGTCCTGTTCAGTTGTTTACAGTGAATTCTGGGGGCACACATGACGCTTATAGTTTTTGTTGGGTGAGAAGGTGAGGTGAGGTGATAACAGCTAGCAGGAGGCTGTGAGGAAATGGCCACACGTCCACACGTCTGATTGGCACAATGGCATCATCGCGTGTAGGCCACATGTCAGATATATGGCCATGTCGGGTTCTGAGCATTATTGTGACTAAAGACAGAGCTTGAGTCCTGGCATTAGGACGACTCGCCAACAACCACGTTGTGTGTCGAGTTCTAATGCCTGTTTCATCCCGTTCCGTGTATATGCTTGCACTGGAATTCACTCAAGATTTAATTTTACAGTTGATTTAATGGGAACCAGTCCATTAACCCGTGCTCCCACACGGGTTGAAGATATAAGCACAAGATGATCATATTTAAATAGCTACAAGTAATAAAGAAATTATAGAAATACTGTCTAACCTCTATCTAGTTACGACGAACTTATCAATCATTGTCTCATTGATATATGTGTTTTTCATCATATTCATAGTTTTTCCCTTTTGCATGGCACCTATGTGTATACCTTCAATGCCGGCCCAATCTTCAAAGATCTTTCATAGGGGTAGGATTTGCGTGTGTACGTTCATATGGGTGATCTGTGCATGTGTAAATGAGTCTCATGTTGTACAATGTAATTCGCAAAAAACCCTAACAGTTGTGGTGAGTATTTACGCAACTAATGTTTCGAGAGTCGAGACTTCATGAATCTAGATTTTGATTTTTAATTTTATATCTTATTAGTTCCTGCAAACTTTTAATTTTTAAGTTAGTTGTAACTCTTATGCTTATTGTACTATCTTGTTTATTAACTCTCCTTTTATATTTTATTAAATAAGAATTTTAGTTCGTAGATTATAGTTTTTAAGTACTAATGACATCGGTCACTTAAATAAATCTACAACGTGTCACTCAAAAGCAATGGTTCTAAGTGAGCTCCAAGATAGGTTAGTGGTGCTAATTTCAAGAGAATATAGAACAAACTAGGAACTAGGAAAAAACGCAAAACATCCTGGTTCAAGTGCACGTTAGCAAAACTACTTCAACAACCTGATATCTTCATCACCGGCTTAAAAGCTAGCGCAGGTCACAAAGCACAGGCTCCTTTCATTGTCCCATTGTCCCATTATCCCAAGATTGAAATCCACCTTTCAAATCTCCTACCAGTACACGTCAACACACGAATCCAAATAAAACAAAGTCATACTAATATATTAAATTTAAACAAAGCAAAAGCTGGTAGTGCCACACCAAGAGATGACAATGCGCACAAACTTGTCGAGTTTTGCCAATCCAAATTTATGCTCCTGAACATAAAATCTGGTTGCTAAAAAAACACATGACCCACCACGGGCTTATTTATGTGTGTAGACCCATGCCTGTTCGGGTCATGGGTACCTAATAGGTCGTCCATGCCCACAACAACAGGCAAACCACGCCACTAAAGCATAGTACATATTCACAATTATCATATAGTCATGTATACATATTTAAAAGGGCACGAACGATGCCTAGAGGGGGGGTGAATAGGCTTTTATAAAAATTATCCTACAAAACATAGATCAAAATGGACATTGCTGCAAAAACAGCTTAGCCGGTTTCTCGACACTACTACTAAGTACACTGCAAAACCGGCTTAGCCAGTTTCTCAGTGAAACTGCAACAAATATAGTTAGCTGCCTCTTTGGCTTTCTACCCTTCCCCTCTCAAACCCAAGGTGCGTGGTGGTGCTTTTGGGAGTTCAGTAACCTGCTCAATTGAACACCCACAAACAAGTGTGTAGCCACAAGCAAGCAGAAGCTCACTATAAATATGATGAAACATATGCAGTGTAGATATGAGATTAAGGCAAACCAAACAAAAAAGACGCAGGGGTTTGTTTGACCAAAGTTCAGGCCTCTAAATAAGCCATACGTCTCTATTTGTGGAAATCGTAAGTGACCCAACCAAGGTCTACTCTAGCCGGTCCAAAGTGACCTCTTTCTACACTCCAGTAAGATGATATTTTCCCTTTTTTCAGAGGAAAGGTCGAGCACAACCTTACTGAATCCAAAGCGACCTCTTTCCTCCACATCAACATGACTATGCATAGCTCGATTAGTACATCGACTCAATGCAAGTACTCTCTTCTTCACCTTAACTTGGTTCTTCGGCCATCAAGCCGTCGCTTGCCCTTCACCCTTGCTTAGTACCTGGAAACCATTTCCTTGCTATCTTTACCCTATCAAGTCATCAAGTCATATCTTGCTTTGAATCAACCTTAAGCACACATTGAATACCATTCCATTTGCATTGTTGTCTTCATCAATCTGACAACCATTCTTCATCTTGAATAGAACAAGCAAGCTTCAAAGAACGAGACCATTCCATCTGCAGTTCTCATGTGTCTCGTTTATGCTTGACACACGCTTGCCAATTCATGCATTTTTTATCAATAATAATATTAGACTCATTTATTAGTTATATAATTTTCTTTCTCGATATGAGCCCAATCACACCTGAGACTAAATACCTGCAAATCTCATGAAATACATTAGTCCCTAATCGTGTTGTCATTCGATCCACCAAAAACCACTTAGGGTCTAGATACACTGTCAATCTCCTCCCTTTAGGCGATTGATAACAACCCCGATTAAAGCTTACAAATGATATCTCAAATTTAGATTTTGGGTTCAATGATATATGTGAGGCTCCCCCTTAATATGTGCATATGAATGAAATTCATAAAATGGCCTCAAATGCCACTTGCACATATTAAAACATGAAAGCCTCCCCCTAACATCCTTGCATCTGTGGGGTGCAAGTGTGTGTCAACAAATAATACATGATGCAATATGACATGATATTCACTCAACAAATGAAAGATAAACATTGCACCAAGAAAACATGCATATCACACTAACAGTAACATCCTCACACAAATGGAATGTTCATCACACACAATTGCATTCATTACATGACAGTTCTAAAAGATCGAATAGACCATCCCTATCCGCTGCCTCCCAACATCACAACAACCCCTTTTATCGTGTGCATGACACACTAGTCTGCTAGCTTGACTACCTTCCTACACCATATGTAGATCCATGGCGTAGCTTTCCCTCCCATGCGCTGTCCACGGCCTTACCACGTGCGCCACCGTTGGAGATGCCAAGCATCGAGGCGAGAAAGTTGATGAAGAGGCCGCGTCAGCACTACCTCTGTACCTCAACACGCAAGAGGGCCTAGCGGTCTAACCTCGCTGTGCGTGATTTGATTTTTTGCCAATTTGATTTGTGATATGTTTGTGGGACGCCATTGATTTATGGTATACTTAGACAGTTGAATTCAATTGTTTGCTCAATTACGATTAGATTTGGAGATTCATAGCCTATTACTGTTCGATTCGTGCTTGATTATTGTTCAATCTCTATGTAATCTTGAGTCCTAGAATTTTGTTTGGTACATCCGCTTGCTATCTAATTTGAGCTCACGAGCTACTTGAGCCGGCTCCAGCTGAAAAATGAGCCAAGCCGAGTCAAGCTTTCCGAGCGAAGCCAGCTTGATATCTCTCCCTAGCCACACCACAGCGCCGGGAGCGGTCGCGGCTGGTGCCTAGTGGCTAGTGGTGCCACAACCACACTGTGTCACCGCTTGCGTCTCCTAAAAAGGCGCAGGGTGCCGTGCCAGACTGCTGGTGCCACACTTGCCAATGCTCGCGTTCACCCCTCTCCACCTTTTCTTTTTTTAACCGTCGCCCTAGCTGCTTCTCTGCCCAATGGACCCCACGTTTCCCTTCAGCTTGTTCGCTGGTTGGTTTCTAGGCTGATAAACCTAGCTGGTGCTGGTTTGTTGTGAGAGAAAAATACCGTTGGATGACTGATAAACCCTGATTGAAACAGCAAACAAGTTCCTTAACTCAAGCAAATTTAAAATTTTCCGCAAGAAACCAGACAGGCCGCAGTTATTCCCGCCCACCACGCGCACTTCCCCACCCGTCCCTCCAGTTCAAATTACCGAGCCCACCGGCCCTCCCAGGCGTGCGGGCCCCACAACGGAGCGGGGCTCAGACGTCAGTGTGACTGAGATCCGCGCAACCCCCTTCCGCCTACGGTACTACGGCAGCAGAAGGAGCAGAGGCTAGTATAGCGCAGTGTCGCCTCCCACCTCCTGTCGACTGTCGTCTCGGTCTCGCTTTAAAATCCCGCGACGCCGTGTCCGCTCGCCTCTTTTGGAGCAGGCCATGTGAAGCCTCTGACCTCCCGATACCTTCCCCTTCCTGCAGTGCTGCAGCAGCAGAGGACAGCGCGGCGTTCGCCTCACGGGGGCGAGAAGCTTCGGCGAGATCCGTGCGCGATGTCGTCGCGGCCGTCGACGTCGTCCTCGCGGCGGAGCAGCTCGCCGTTCTCCGCGGGGCACCGCCGCCCGCCCACCGCGTCCTCCTCCTCCTCGAGCTCGTACTTCAGCTCCGGCCGCCTCATTCCGCGCTCGTCCCCGTCCTCCGTCAACTCCAGCTTCTACGGCGGCGGGGGCGGGGGCAGCACGAGGTCCACCACCCCCGGCCGGCGCAGCTCATCTGTAGCGCCAGCGCCGGCGCCCGCGCCCGCGCTCGCGCCAGTGCCGTTCCCGAGTGCGGACGAGCTCGTCATCGAGGACACCTCCCGATCCGGCGACAGCATCTCCGTCACCATCCGATTCCGACCGCTCAGGTGGGGATCTCGGAAGGAATGCGCGGATCTGCTCGCGAGGGGCTGTGAGTAGGGTTGTGGGAGTGCTTGAACTGGTTTTGAGCTGGATTTGGTGTGGCTGCAGCGAGCGCGAGTTCCAGCGCGGCGACGAGATCTCGTGGTATCCAGATGGGGATCGGCTTGTGCGGTGCGAGTACAACCCGGCAACGGCTTATGCTTATGGTGAGTAGCCTTCATTCAGTTCCGCCTTCGTGCAATTGGGTAATGCAGGTGGCGGGATTGGGGATTTGGATAATTTAGCCATTGGAATTTCATCCTTGAGCATTTTTTGATTTGGGGTTTCCGAAATTGATTATTATGGATTCGAACAATTAATGCACAGCTGAAATTAGTACACGTGGCCTTTGATTGGGCTTCATGATGAAAACAAAATTTAGGTCCTGGTCTGCAATTTTGGAAAGCACCCGTTTCTGTGGAAGTCTGTAGTTAATAAACAGCGCCTGTTCTGTGGAAGTCTGTAAAACAGTCACTGTTATGAGGTTTGCACCATTCCATGTCCTTTCAAGCATATTATAGAGGTGTGCTTTCTGCCGGTTTTTCATTGGTTAGTTATACAGCATCCCATGAGTTTTGTTATTCTGACTGCCTGAGATGATCAAGCAAACTTCATGTTGGCAGTATTGGTTCAGCTGCGGCCAGCCCAATTTGTTTTGGATTCTTAAATGTTTGAAAGTTGTGTTCACAGATGAGATGCATGCAAGTTGTTATCATGGTCTACTAGGACTCTGCCCGTTTTGTTGCTTGCAAAGGAATATGCTGGATGTGCACATACTTCAGCTCATGTTGAGTACAGTGAATAGTCTGGACTCTGGAGTATACCTTGTCCAATGTCAGGTCAGCATGAAATGAGTCAGTGCGACAACCAGACAATGCATCCAGTGGATGCCATTATTCACTGTTACACATAGCTCAGCATAGGGTTGGTCAGATCCTTCCAGTGGATGCCATTACTGGAGTGTGTGGGCATGAGCCCATGACCCCGAGATGTGGCTGTGCCAAAGTGGGTACATCAGATTCCTGTAGTTTATCGAAATTCGAGACACTGATTGCTGGCTTGCTGCATCATGGTTTCTGTTCAAACTTTCAAGTTACCACTGAGTTTGCAAGTATGGAAATATTTCTCTGAGGAAGTATACAGAGATATTTGCAATAGTCTTTAGGTATGATCACCTGCTGGGCATTATAAGCATTGAACACTGAGTCCGAAGGTGCTACAGATGTGCCATTTGCAAAAAAAACTGTGATCTGATGGCAAGATGCAGTAAAACTTGGTAGAATCAACTAGGCTTTATGCGGTCTTCTATGGCCCTTTTGATTATCCCGTAACATGAACAGGAGACGATGGATAGGTATGAGGTGCTGAGTGAGCTGAGGCTCAAGTGCAATCGTCACAGATGGAAAGTTGATGCATGAGCTGAACAGAGGAGAAAAAAATGGTAGCAGCATTTATTTTGATAAGCCAATGGCTATGCCCTATAGCTGTTACTAAACATTTGCACTGATGTTTTTAGCCCATTATAATTTATGTTCCTAATCGCAGTCAATTAATCTGACTGAATCCAGTATTTAACCCGACATGCATATTAATTATCATATAGTCCGTGTTGTGTTCATCTGCTATATCAACTTGGTGACGCTTGGTAATTAATGCCTATTTAATTATTTACTTATTTTTTCAGATAGAGTTTTTGGGCCTTCGACAACCACTGAGGCTGTCTATGATGTTGCAGCCCGCCTGTTGTAAAAAGGTGCTATGGAGGGCATAAATGGTATGCTAGTTTTGTCTTATTTAGATCATCTTAAGTTTATGGTATGCTGCCATGCCTTATTAATCTGAAAGCACTTCTTATTGTGATTTTTCGTTTACTTATACCATACTGTATCATATATTGTGGGAATTCTATGTTCACATGTAAACATGTAATTTTACTCTTATCATTATGAACTAATGGTGCACATTTTCTTCCTAACTATTCATTTTACTCTTACCAGCATTTGTTATGAATTAATGTTTACCTTGTATAACGAGTTGTTAACTTATCAATGCATCTGCGCCATTTCTAAATGCAACTTTGTACCAACTTGTAGGGACAGTTTTTGCCTATGGCGTAACAAGTAGTGGGAAGACCCACACAATGCATGTAAGTTCTCATATTCAAAATCTGTTGAAAGAATTACCAAGCTAGTTTCATAGGAAAGCAGAAAGCCATAACTATCTGAGCATGTAGTTTGTATGTCCCATGTTTCCTGCTGGGATCCAGACTCCTGAATCCTCTCTATAGCACATTGCAACTTTCAAGATATTTTCTACAATTGCTACTGCAAGCAATAGCAAATATGGTTTCTGAATGCGACTTTGACATATTCATTTTCATGAATAATGTTGGTAAATATATAGTTGTCTGATTTTTGAAGGCAGCATTATTTTTCTGATCCCTTTGTTTTCCTAATCTTTTTTCAGGGTGACCAGAATTGTCCTGGAATAATCCCACTAGCCATCAAGGATGTCTTCAGCATGATCCAAGATGTATGGCAGTAAATGCTTTAGTTGAATAATACTTAGTAATCCTTTATGATTATTTTCCTAACTCAGAAGTCATAATGCCTTTATTTCAAATGAGCATGTTTCCTGTAAAATGTTTAAATGGACGGACACTTTGACACAAGAATACCTCCAAAATCTGCACTGGTGTCTTCTTCATTGCTTGTGTATTCCTGTGTGTATATCCATAATACTGAATGGTGTCATTTAGAAGCTAGAACACTGTGTATAACCCAAGCAAGGCGTGTAGTGTGTTTATGCAACTTGGAAGTGTTTCTTTGTTGCCCAAGAAACTAGAGCTTTATGTCTTGTCCTGTTTACTTGAGTGCTGGTCCTTTCTTCAGATTAGCTGCATGGGAACTTCTAGTTGGCTTTATACAAGAGATAATCTCTGGTTAGTTTTTATTCAACAAGAGGCGGGGAAACTCCTAATTTATTTGGTTAAGGGTTGTGACAGGCTGAGTAGGAAGATTGATGTATCCCAGAAAGTTGTGGTTACAAAGTTTCATATGAGCAGACTCAACAACATACGTTCTTAAAAATCCTATTTTCTTGTAAATCTTAATGTTTTCTGAAATGTACCATGTGCTCAATTCTACCCTGTATCACATCATCTACTCTGGCTATTACTTGACTGCAACCTTTGTTTTTACTATCTTGATAAACAGAGTCCTGGAAGAGAATTTTTGCTCCGTGTGTCGTACCTTGAAATCTATAATGAGGTATGCTACTTCTACTTGTGCCAGTTTGAAAGAAAAAAAATCATTTTCATAAATTTCTTGCAAGGCATACCTTTGGTCTTACTTTATTTGATTAGTCAACGACCTTTTGTTCAACTCACCATATCTGTTCTTATCTTGAAATCTCGATTGGCCTAGTTCTTGACAAAAGGGTCCTTTTTTGATAGTTCTATCCAGAATACACTTCCACTTAGTCATATATCCCTTTTGTTTGGTTGGTTACAAAATTTTGAGCTATGCGCAAATTTTTTTTGCGAAGGGAGCTATGCGCAATTTATATTTGTTCTGCGGTTGTGCTGTACAAATACTGGCCAAGCATTTGTTTTATGGTCATATTAGTTACAACTGAGTCTCTGAGGACTAAGCAAAATATTGATGCCATATTCTATTGCAAGGGTACCTGTAATCTTATTCCCTTTCAGCTTGTACCATATGGATAGATTCAATCTGGATATCTAAATGCAGGTGATAAATGATCTACTTGATCCTACTGGCCAAAATTTGCGTGTGCGGGAGGATGCACAGGTTAATCTCTAGAATCTTTTGTTGCATTCTCATGATATACTGATATAGTGAATTGTCAAATAGTTTTAACTGAGTGTTTTAGTTGCAAACTTGCAATATATCAAAACTGATCCGAGTTGTTCTTAGATAAAATAATCTTAGTGTTTTAATCAGAATTATTATCTGATGCAGTTTGTTACCTTCCATTGGTACAAATTTGTGATCTGTGAAGTCAAAATGGATATTGTTTATAGTTGAGTGCTATTTGGTTCTGAGAGTGATTAGCTTGATATTATATTATTTTTCTGAATTATATCATAAAATGTCTTTCATATGTAACCTTCCTATGTTGTTTTTTTGTTGATTTACATTGCTCCCTTTAGTGTATGCAAAGAAAGCTCATAGCTTTATCAATTGTAGTTACTATTTTGTTTACGAGCTTATCTGATTGCTTCCTTTTTCTCTCTCTAGGGAACCTATGTAGAAGGAATAAAAGAAGAAGTAGTTCTGTCTCCAGGACACGCTCTTTCTTTTATTGCAGCGGGTGAAGGTGATTGCATTATCTTTCTCAGTTTCTAGTATGTTACTAGCGAATGATTTCAGGGGAGTTGGTTAGGTAGCTTGAGTAGTGCTCCTCAGGTCCTGAGTTCGACTCCCTGTGGGAGCGAATTTTAAGGTTAGGATTAAAAAAATCCCCTCATTGTCCTACGCCAAAGCACAGGTCTAAGGTCTAGCCCCAGTCGTGGTCGTTGTGTTTGTCCCACGCTGTCGTTGTCACATACTCACATGGGCTATGGTGCCGCTGTGTATGAGTGGGGCAGGGGTTCAGAGGTTTTCTTGACCTGCGTGAGGTCTTCTTCTTAATCCAATGCCCTGGGGCTGTCTTACCCTCCGCAGGTCGAGTTTTTTTCTTGCTGTGGCCGTTAGAGGTGACAGTAAGTACAGTGTATTAGTATCTCATAAAATAGTTTTTTAGTTCCTGTATCATCTTTATTTATGGCTTCTTTCAACATTTCTATCAACCTGTCAACTAATTGGTTTGGTTAGACTCCAGAAACATGTTTCAGTGAGATACACACTTTTAGTTATTCTGCTTTCTCTAAATTTTTAGTCTGGTTGTGAACCATATGATTTTCTTCTCTTATAAGTTCTTTGTCCTTGCCTTACAATCTTAGGTTTTGTTTAAATACCATGTTACCAATCGAAGTTCTAGCTACAAATGCAAATGCACAGTATCCTTTACTGATATGCTAATAGACTCTTTGTCTGAATATTCTCAACTATGTCTAGTACTCCCACTATTCTCAAACACAATGTGAAACTTCTTGGAAAAAAAAACAGAATTATTGTACTTTGAAAACCTAAAATCTTATTGATTTTGTGGAAGTATATACTGAAATAATACCTATTTATACTCTGATTTCTAAGGTTCTCAAGTACCACTATACTAAATTGACCATCCATGACTTATCCTTTTCCATGCTGTTATTCATTTGGTTACCTAGTTCTTTTAGTATCCAGAGCTTCATTGATGTTAACTATTGAATGCTGTTTTCTTTTCCTGAAACATAGGACATAATTTCAGTTGTACAACAAAGTGGCGTGACCTCGTTTTTACACCATAACTAATACTATGTTACATGACAGAACATCGGCATGTTGGCTCTAACAACTTCAACTTATTTAGCAGCCGAAGTCATACTATTTTCACATTGGTGAGTTCATAATTTATTTCAGCATTTAGTGATTACTGAAGTTCTGCAAATGTTTCGCATTTGTTTTTTTTTTCTTATGCCACAAATACTCCTGAGTTCCAGGATTCACTGTGTCATATTTATTTACCACATTTGTGATATATTTCTCTCACCCTTTTTCTTAATACAAAGATATGTCGCTATCCTGCGTGTTTGAGAAAAAAACCCCCACATCTGTGATATGCTGTATTTCTTTATCTGACCCATAGCATATCTGTGTTCTTCTTTAGATGATTGAAAGCAGCCCCTGTGGTGATGAGTATGATGGGGTCATATATTCACAGCTCGTACGTTGTTCTGGTCCTAAGAAACATTCTGTTTCCGCTTTCCAGTTTCCCCTGGATTTCTAATATCATTTTTACACATTTTTCATTTTCTAGAATTTGATTGATCTAGCTGGCTCTGAGAGCTCGAAGACAGAGACTACAGGGTTAAGAAGAAGGGAAGGGTCATACATTAACAAGAGCCTTTTAACTCTTGGAACAGTAAGTTCTCATTGGCAATCACCTGTGATAATGGCTGGTTTCCCAGTTATTATCAGCAGCTTTGAAGACATTGGCCATTGTATAATTAATTATTACTTGTATCAAAATTGAAGCTGAGCTTAGGATGGAAAATAGCTGGTATAATATGTGGTGAGATTAGCTTGATTTTATTGTCGGACACAAGTGCTCATTTGCAGCTTCATTTCTTTTGGTTCAAAGGTCATTGGCAAGCTCAGCGAAGGGAGGGCAACACATATACCCTATCGTGATTCTAAGTTGACCCGTCTGCTACAATCATCATTAAGTGGCCATGGTCATGTCTCAGTAAGTATTAACTTTTACAACTGCTTCTCTGGGAGTCATTCCTTTTGGAACTCATTCCGTTGTTCTGTTCGAGCATTGAAGTGAAGCCCTGAAACCTTCCGAAGTAGTCAGCTGATACAATTACTTTTTCTTATGCAGCTAATTTGCACAATTACCCCAGCATCAAGTAACATGGAAGAAACCCATAATACATTGAAATTTGCAAGCAGAGCAAAACGTGTTGAAATTTACGCCTCTCGCAATCGGGTAAATAGTTAGGCATAGAAAACTGATTTCCTGTACCACTATTCTAGAAAATGAAATTAAAGACATAATGATCTTGACTGCCCAGATAATTGATGAGAAATCATTGATCAAGAAGTATCAGAAAGAAATATCCTCTCTAAAGCAAGAACTTGATCAGCTAAGGAGAGGAATGATTGGTGGTGCCAGCCACGAAGAAATTATGAGTTTACGTCAGCAGGTATGTTCTGTTTGTTTGTTATAACTGCAGAATAAAGCTGTAATTAAGTTGTTATGTGCTCCTTGATTATTTTTTGCGTTGGTAAGTTGATAACTGCTTGAAAAGTACTTTTCTTTCTTTTATCTTTATAGTTGGAGGAGGGTCAGGTCAAGATGCAGTCTCGTCTGGAGGAGGAAGAGGAAGCAAAAGCTGCTCTAATGAGCAGGATACAACGCTTGACCAAGTTGATACTTGTTTCCACCAAAAACAATATTCCTGCCTTGACAGATGGTCATCAGCGGCACAATTCTGTCAGCGAGCAAGATGTAAGTATCAATTGCCCTACCATTACACATTTGTATATATTCTTCCTTCATGCTTCTGTTTCATTTGGAAATATGAATTATCTGTATTTTCAGAAGTTAAGCACTTCACAAGATAGTTCTACAGTTGTCCAAAATGAGGGCACTGATAAAAGACCCCCTACCAGACTCCTTAGATGAGATCAATCAATTAAGATCTGGCAGTGGTGAACATTCTTCAGTTACTGGTTCTGCAGCAGATTCAATGCAGGTATATAACCTGCCCATTCTGCTAAATTTTGCAATATTTGTTTCCTTTTGTAAGGTGTTCTCTATTGTTGTAGTGCTATACTCAGTAGCCTCTAAAATTTTGTTGTGACTTCCTACTGAATATGGTTTTATGAAAGACAATTAATGGACAGAACAATGCATGTTAAAAAGTGGATCTTATTCTACAGCGAGCATGCTAATTCATAAATTATTATTTGTTAAAACTTGTTGTGCTTGGAATATCAGGCGGGATTCACGGCATCAGATCATATGGATCTACTGATTGAGCAAATTAAGATGCTCGCTGGGGAGGTCGCATTTGGTACCAGTTCGCTAAAAAGACTAATTGAACAGTCCATAGATGATCCTGAAGGGACAAAGGACCAAGTATTCAACTTACACTTCAGTTTTTTTTTTATGTACCTTCTGCTCAGTATCAATCTCATTCCATTTGAAGAGGAACCAGTGATTAACAGTGCTATATGCATTCCTGACATGCATGAGAATAAGCCTTTTGTGTTCAATTTCATGGCAGGCAAAATATTACATTCAACATAACTGGGTTCTGCACTCTATTTTAACATGTGTTGAACTGTTGCTCATAATATTCGCATATGTTCTTAGGACACCTTCAGTAATAGAGCCAACTTGCTAGCTCATATGAAAAGATAAAAATGGAGTAACCTGACATGCTAGTATAGAAAAACGTGTGAGCATGGACACATGAATCATAGAAAAGTGTGTGAGCTTAGCTCTTCTTGAAGAGCTACCTTATCATTCTCTCTCTTTTTAATGAATAAAAAAATTCTATGAGCTAGTTGTTTTAACACTGTTGGAGCTGCCCTTATAACAGATAGAGAATTTAGAGCGTGAAATCCAGCAAAAGAGAAGACATATGCGAGCCCTGGAAAAACAAATCATGGAAAGTGGTGAGGCATCAGTTGCTAATGCATCCATGGTGGATATGCAGCAGGTGATATGTCCAGCATATGGATGCCCCTCTTAGTGGTTCCTGCAATTTTTCTCTTCAATACTAACGCGTTTTGTTTTGTGAAAACAGACTATTACAAAACTAACTGCTCAGTGCGGTGAGAAGGCTTTTGAGTTAGAGGTAATCTTCTTGAACTTCTACTGTGATTCCATCAAACTCAAATACCTGGAAATGGTGTTTTAACAATTGTTTGTGCTTTTTCGGGACAGTTAAAGTCAGCTGATAATCGTGTTCTCCAGGAGCAGCTACAGCAGAAGGTCCTCTCTCTCCCCACTTCTATTTTCAATTTAAATTCTTCAAGATGACAAAAGTTTGATCCAAAAAGTTGTACTAATTGCAGAATGCGGAAATCAATGATTTACAAGAAAAAGTTTTTCGTCTTGAGCAACAACTCTCAGCAAAAGTGGATATATCCCCTGAGCAGGAGACTGATTGCGCACAGCAGGAGGCTATTGATTTGAAATCTAAACTTCAGTCCAAGGTTCTTTTACTAATCCTGTTCTTTCACTTTGTGTATTCGATACCCTTGCGCAGTATACCTACCTGTACAATTTGGCATACTCTGCAACATAGAATATTAATGGTTTCTGCTACATCCTTCGTGAATTTCTAGTTGATAGAAATAGTATGCATGTTCTTTAGATGGCTATAAGCAACTATTTGTGTTTTATGCTTGCCTTGTTGACATTTAAGTCAACCAACTTTGCTGATGTACTTTGGCAGGAAGCTGAAATCGAAAAGCTGAAATTCGAGCATCTGAAAATTACTGAGGAACATTGTGACTTGATCAATCAGAACCATAAATTAAGTGAGGAAGCTGCATATGCAAAAGAATTGGCATCTTCAGCTGCTGTTGAACTTAAGAATTTGGCTGAAGAAGTTACAAAGCTATCTGTACTAAATGCGAAGCAAGCAAAGGAGTTATTAGTTGCTCAGGAGATGGCACATTCAAGGGTTCATGGTAGAAAGGGTCGTACAACCAGTAGGGGCAGGGATGAGGTTGGGACATGGAGCCTCGATTTAGAGGACATGAAAATGGAGCTACAGGCCAGAAGGCAGAGGGAGGCTGCTTTGGAAGCTGCTTTGGCAGAGAAGGAGTTTCTCGAAGAGGAGTACAAGAAAAAGTTTGACGAGGCAAAGAAAAAGGAACTATCTTTGGAAAACGATCTAGCAGGCATGTGGGTTCTTGTTGCTAAGTTGAAAAAAGGGGCTTTAGGCATATCTGATTTGAATGTTGATGATCGAACTGTTAACCTAGCTGATATAACTAACGGCACAAAGGAAAACAAAGGTGAAAAGAATTTTGTGCTAGTTGAGAAGCAAATTTCAGACGATTCTGTTAAGTCACTGAGCACAGAAGGACATAGAAGTCCGGAGTTTGAACCACTTCTTGTTCGTCTGAAGGTATATACATTCTTTTAGTTTACATGTATATTTTGCTAGTTTTTGAAGTAGTGTATGCTATCAACTCCATATAACTTAAGTCCATCATGCAAAGCTGGCTCTGGAAATCTGAAAGTAGATTGTCGATGCTGCAGTGGTGCCTTTGTAACTAATATTAACATAACTTGGTGTACAGAAGGGAGTATGCGTATTTCAGTAGCTGTCTTGTTGCTGAATTGTAAAGCCTGAGTGTAATCTGTAGTCAGATGTAGACATCTTTTATGTTTCAATTGGTGGTGGCAACCCAGCTCTTAAGTGACAGTTGCTTCTGGATTGCTGATAGCAAGAGCTACAACCTACGTGCCACTTGTGATTTGTGAACCTAATAACTTCTTCTGTGTGCAGGCTAAAATTCAGGAGATGAAGGAAAGGACACTGATCCCCTGAGCGATAAAGATGGCAACTCACATGTCTGCAAAGTTTGCTTCGAATCTGCAACTGCTGCAGTATTGCTTCCTTGCCGGCATTTTGCTGTAAGCTGCCTACTCTCCTGTGTTTACGTGCCACTTTTGCTCAACATTGATACTGCATTTTCCCTCAAAAAACATTGATACTGCATTTTTCGCTAACGGACGGTGTTCCTTTTCAGTGTGCAAGCCTTGCTCGCTTGCCTGTTCGGAGTGCCCTCTGTGCCGCACAAGAATAGCAGACAGGATAATCACCTTCACATGAACTGCGTGCTAGCTTCAGGTGCCAAACACTTCATGGCTTGCATGTTGGTCTCACGCCAACGCTATCCCTATGAAATTTCCTAACGCTGTGCTGTGTATCTCAGCCAGGTCATTCTGTAGCACGCATTCTCTTGTAAAATCGCCAGTGGTATATGTTTCTCTTTTTCCTTAGCAAAGAAGGTGCCTTTTATGTTCCTTCTGTGTTGTATCGCCATTCTTTGGGTTCTCCTACATAGCTTCACCTTACGTTCTTTGTTGTATCGAGGAGTTACAAATGATGACTTCTCGCTCTGCAAATATGTATAGATATGCGACTCGACGCTGTAACACATTTTGATTGTCTGCCCCGAAGAAAAGCAGTGAACGACATGATGACGTGTGTATACTGCTTCTAGTTACCTACTCCCCTCCTGCCAAAATATTTTCTCCGTCCACTTTTAGACTTTTTGTTTGACCGTTCTGTCTTATTCAAAATTTTTATATAAATATTATTTATTTTGTTATGACTTACTTTATCGACACTTGAATAATGATTTATTTATTTTATTATTTGCATAAAAATTTAAATAAGACGAACGGTTAAATAAGAAATCTAAAAATAAAAAACGACAAATGGGACAAAAGGAGTAAGTGTATATCTAGTATTCAAAATTTATCCTAAAATAAGTTGCCATTAGGTATGAGACAACCTAGTTTAGTAGGCTTTACCACTTTCTCTATTCTTAAAGTGTAATCATTACATGCTTCAACACCTTTTCATAGGACTCACAGATGCCAACGCACGGGAGTCTCAAAATTTTCTATCACAATAAGAGTGAAAAAAAAATTGTGGGTCAAAACCAATAGATAAATAATAAAGTGTTCGCCCTATATTGCAACAACAGAAATAATGGAACAAAATATGCATAAAAGACGAATTTACATTTCATATTTAAAGAAAGTCTAAATTAGACTGGTCAAGTGTAAATAAAGAGAGACCAACTTCTTGAGGCTCTGATATGCGATGCCCAGAATTCAAGCTTGCAACTTCTTGCAACGCGAGGAACTCAAGATCGTGCTCCTGAATTCAAGCTTACAACTTCTTGAGCAACGTGCTCCTGAATTCAAGCTTACAACTTCTTGAGCCTTTGATCTGTTCCTTTCCTGAGTCCACAGATATTACAACTCCTTCAGGCTAGCAACAAAAGCCATCGTCACTCCTCTATTCTATCTGAGAAAGCCATCCCCGATAGATAGCTTGTTTCTTCAGATATTCAGCTGGTGTAGTTGTTAAATTTCTTTAGATGAAAATGATCTGCAGGTTTCATATTGACTATTGATGAAAAACTCCATCAATCTAGGAAATATTCTGCAGTCTAGAAAACTAACAGGCAATAAGCTGATTCTTTTAAACAAAATATGCAACAATGGCGTCAGTAGGAAACTGCACATTGACAAAGCTGTATGGACTATTTGCAGAACATAAAAAAAAGAAGAAAACTATTTGCTGATAGCTAAAAGTTATATAGATACAAAACAGAAGTGTAACTGGCATTGCTGCATGATGACTTGATTTTTCAGAATCATACTTAATATGCACAATGATCTATCAGCTTATAAGTCTGTTTACTGTAGAGTGTGGAACCCTATCATGAATCATAGAATCATACATTGGCCTATCAATGAGAAATTTCATCCATTTTTCTGCATGAGTGGTGAATCTGAATTTTCAAAGTGCAGGACATCATAGGGATAGGGCTTAACTTGCTTATGCAATACCTGTTTTGCAAGCAAGGTAATTTGTTGGACAAAGTATATGGAATGGTCACAGCTACTGATTGTGTACAGATTGTTATAGGGAATAGTCATGCTAACTGACCAGCTCTTACTGTGAGGAGTTATGGAGTTTCAGAGGTTTGGAGATGCAGCTGGCTACATGATGGCAGAGGCTGCAAGCCTCCCACCTGATTAGCCAGCTGAAATTCGGAGATGGTAATAGTATAAAGGATGTGTCTGCCAAATGGACAGTAGGAGGCCAACTCAAATGTCTGTTGTGCTGAATTTTACTTTGATACGATAGCACATAACTACAATTCATAAAAACTGTAATATGAAGTAAAATACTGAGGTCGTGCTGAATGGAACTGAGGTCCCGCACACTGGTTGGTTTGTTGTGCTGTTTACCTGAAAAATGGAACCAAGCTACAGCTGCAGAAAAGTGATTGAGTAGGTGAAATGAAAATTCAGATCAAAGGCACAGCTGTAGAAGATGACACTGAACAGCAAGAGCAAACAACAGTGACGGGCTGGGCATGACATTATTGTTGGAATACTACTCCAATCTTCAAAGATAAGTGAGGCCATGGAATATGCTCCATGTGATCGGTGTGGACAAATGAGTAATGATATAACAATTATCAGACTACATATCAAAGCTAGATGGTCCTTGAGGAAGATACATAGGGGAATACAAAAATAAAAAAGTGAGAAGGGATTGATTTGCATATGACCTGAACACACAAAAGTTAATTAAACTTCACCCCAGTGGTTGTAGTCAGTGTTCCCACGGCAACCTTTCCCTGCAGCACAACAACCAAACAAAACTGTCCTTTTATTTTGCATAAAGAAAAATCAGTAGGTAACATGTTTTTGGTTCTTGCATAAAGAGTACCTTATGAGAAAGACACAACTTGCTGCTAGTTAACTCCTAAGAAAAACAGTGAAAGTTAGCAGCTGCAAGGTTAACACATTTCCGTTAAGTTCAAATAGGAGCCATGTGTCTGAGTGGCAGTGCAAAGAAACATATGCAATAACTGAATCACTCAATTTAGCAAGCATATGAGAAGAAAAGGGCTGCTGGAACTATATACCAGGGCCAAAATTATATAATAGCTAAAAGATCATTGTTTTAAATGGTTGCACATTGTTGTTGGCATCAGCACATTGCTTTAGATGGTTTCAAATGCCTTACCAAGCAGAGCAAGCAGATTGCATTAACATGACATTGTTTTTCTCTAGTTGGATACTGAGTTCACCATCAAACTCGCCAAATCAGCTTATTTCTGAATTTTATTCGAATGAACTCTAATCTGAATTTTCTTTAAGCAAGGCAACAATTACGAATTTATTGATGTTGGTGATTAATTTCTGCAGATTTGTATGGTCAATACATGAAGAATATGACTTCTAAGATCAATGCAGGCTGCCAAAAGAAGATTGTAAATACTGAACAATAAATTAATAAGCATTCACAGTGGACAGTGAGCAAATTTGATTACTTGTTAGCAAGAGCAAATTTCATAGTATTAGCTTGACTTTTCTCAAATCTTCAGGTCTGAGGACAAAGACAATACCTGGTGCTAGGTTGGAGTCGACTTGCGTCATGCACAGCAGCCGGACTGCAGGAGTCACACAGGAGTCAAGTCGCTCCTAGCCACTCGTCCGGTGTCGAGCAGCTGAGGTCAGTTGCGACTTGGGGCGAGCAGCAGTGCACCTCCCCTCTCCTCTACGGCGCCCCGGCAGCGTCTCGGACCACCTCCCTCTCCTCCAGGCTCCTAGGACGGGACTTGGACTGCAGAGGCCAGGTCGTAGCAGCATATTGGGGGAGGGAGCCGTGGATCGAGTACAGGAGGTCCAAGATGCAGACGGCGAGGCGGACTCGCGGCGGCCGGACGGCGCTCCGGGTGGCAGTGACTGGGCGGGATGGGCGTCCGGGATGGAGGGCGCGGAGGGCGGTGGCCGGAGGGAGGCGCCCCCGGGCGGCGCGGAGTGCGACCTCCGTGCGGCGCGTAGGGAGTCCAGGTGGGGGAGGGCAGTGGGGCTGGCGGCGCGGAGCGAGGCGTTCGGGCGGCGCGGAGGGCTGCGCAGAGGTAGTCGCGGTGGGGGCACGGAGGGAGTCGCGGCGGGGGAGCTGAGGGAGGGAGCCTGGTCCCACCTGTCGGCGCGGGGTGAATGCGGGGAGTCGGGGCAGACCGAATTGACTGTGGACGATTCCAATTTCACCGTAAGAACAACGAGGACACAAATACAACACCTATTAGTTGATTTGGTCCAGTACAGGCAAAATGTCACCATCTAAAAGTTAGCCTTCTCCAACAGAACGCCCCGCCGACCCCTCCACTCTCGAGCACCCCGCCCCAACGCCCCGAGCACCCCGCCTCTCCCTGTCATGGCGCCCTCCCTCTCCTCCTTCTTCTTTGGCCCTCCTCCCTTCTTCTTCCCCGGCCCTTCCGATGGCGGCCGGATCCGGCCCTCCCTCTCCCGGATCTGGTCGGTGGCAGCCGGTGGTGCGTGGTGGTGGTGGTGGTGGCCGGCGGCTGTGGTGGTGGTGGTGGCCGTCGTGCTCTGCTTCTTCCACCCGCCCCACTTGCCTTGCTTCCACCCGCCGCCACCCTTTGCCGGATCCGAGCTTGGCCGGGCTGAGCTCCTCACCGCCCAGCGTGCTATGCTTCTCCTCCACCTACCATCGCTATGCTTCCCTTGGCGCCATGGTCCCGCCCTCGTTGTCGATGGGCGCCATGTCCCGGACCAGTGGCATTTCGCGTGGAGGAAACGCATAAAGAGACGGAGAGAGGGGCTTAAGTTTGGGTACCGTGTTGCCTCCGACGCAAAATGCCTCCCGTGTTTGGGTACTCCGTTGGAGGGTGGTTTTTGCCGCAAAAGCACTGTGCACTATGCATTTTGGGGATGGGTCACGGTTTGCCAACACTGTTGGAGACAACCCAGGAGTAGAGATTG